AGAATGGGAGGGGTATTTTCTTTGTCTTCTGATTTTAAGACCTTAGACTTAAAATATGCCCATATGACTTGGACATATTTTTGACTTTTTTTCCAGTAGCTTTAAAATAAAAATTGGTTTCTAGCTCTCAAGGTATCATGTAGCCACTTTTTCAAGTAACTTCGATTTTAAGCAAAGTGCCAAGTATCACTAGCATTGACACCAAGTTGTTTTTTGAGGCAAAAACTTTTGTTTAGCGTTCACAGCCACTAATACATTCCTTCTTCATGATGTTTGAGAAGTTCCAGACAGAAGAGGAAGTGCTGGAGCTCTCAGAGAAAGAAGCTTCTTGCCCCAGGATGAAGTCCTGGCTGAGAGTCAGTATGAACTCCTCTACCAGCAAAAGGAGAGACAGCCCTTGGGTGAGACTGACTTCTGGCATCTGCAAACGTACAGCAGCTAAAGACATGAGCTAAGATGCAGGGCAATAGACTCTGAGCTTTTGTGTGCATTCTTCTCATAATAATACAATCAGACAACGAATGAAGGTAATTGAAGACAATGAGGCTGCCATGGCTGACTTTGCAGAAAGTATGATGTAAGAGAGGTTAAGAAGTAAAGGAACATAACATTTTTACTTATTGAAATGACATTTTCCAGATGAGGCATTATTAATCAATGAAAACAGGTGACAGTGATTTCTGAGGAGGCATCATGGGTCTCTGGGACATCTAACTGTAGCTCAGTCAGAGTGGGAGGAGAGCTCCTGGGCCATTCAGCAATTTTCTTTCACTGTTTTAAAAGATTGTTTTTGAAAAGGCTGCCATGGTGAACTTTGTCTCGTGGTCGATAGTAACACAGATAAGAATTAACAGAAATGGCATGCTGAAATAAGTTGGATTAAAGTCAAGTCTCCTAGCATAGCTCATTGGCACACCAAATGGATTGAGATGTGAGCTGTGTATCTCCTGTTTCCTGGGATTTTTCTAACACAGAATATTCAGGGAGAAATTGGAAAAGGAGTATTGGTGGTTTCATTGTCCTTCCTCTGATGCATTATCTAGAAAACTTACATATCATTTTAAAAAGGTATCAAATGCAGACGGTTGCCGCCACTTTTGTAATAAAATTTTTGGTTGTAACCAATGCCTTATGCAGAATTTTGTTTCTTTCAGTTAAATTTCTTTTAGGAAGATCTTTTAGGTCCAGAATGGAGTTTCTAATGTAGACAAAAGAAAGACTGCAGAGCAGAGAATAGTCCAGTCTTCAGAGCAATCTGCCTAATTCTAATGAGAAAGGTAAACTTTGATCTATCACATCACATCACAGCAACCTTTTGTGTTCTCTCTTTTCCTCCATTTCTTTTTATTCCCTAAAAGGCCTTATTCCTATTGTATCAAAGCAGCTATTAAAACCTGGAGACTTCCATAAAACAAGAATCTTTTTCTCCATTCTGTCTCAGTTACATCCAAACATCAGAAGTTCCTTTTATTTTATTATAGAATTAGGTAATATTTAAGTCTATTTTGGCACAAAATAAATGCACATAAAAAATAAATAGGATTTTTTTTCAGGTATTTTAGGACAGTAGAATTTACCCATAAATTCTGAGATTCACTGCTACACATTGCACCAGGCATGACAAAAGAGGGTTAAGTGTGTATCTGTGCATGCAATGAGAGAAGGGAATTCATGGAGAGCATTTTTCTTATTTTTATTTCTTGTCATCTATCTCAAAAGAAAAAAAAAAAAAAAAAAAAAGCTACTCTTTGTGCTAGTGCCAATGCTGAAAATGGAATAGTCAGGGTTTTGCTTTGATAAGAATAAAATCTGGACTTATACAATGAATTTGTGGAAGGAATTGATCATCTCTCTTAAGAACCTGAAATTACTATAGACAAGAGAAAGCCAGCAAAACTATAAGCAAAATTTGTGTCTACTTATAACATAAATTTTGGCACAAAGGGATATGACTGAGCAAATGCAAGAATGGGAAATAATTGGACTTTTTGTCAGCTATTTTTCAGTTTTTTTTTTCAAGAGACTGCAAAGTAAATTCAGTTAAAGAGACTCTCCAGACATGGCCTTAAAATTACCTCTGAGGAAACAAAGAGTGGTGAACAAGGTGTCTTGCAGGAGGATGAAGGTTGCAGTCAAAGTAGGCTAGGCTATAGGCCAGTCATGAAGACCTTTATCAAGTAGGTTTGAGTGAGAAAAACTGGGAGCTGGCAGTGGATGGCGAGGAATCACAGCAAAATCTGGAGCAATATTATCATGCATACATTGTTCTAGTGCTAAATGACTGTGCAAGGCACAAAGGCACATGATGTGCCATTTATTGACATTTCAGACTAGAATGTCTCCTGAGTTTATTTTGTGTTGTCCTTATATCTGGCAATATTCTCTCTTGCCAAGTAAGTGTCATCTTTTAAGCGCTGCTGCTGCCTTCTCCATGTCCACTGTTGGTGATAGGCTGAAAGGGCTGATGCAGTCAAGCAAAAATATTTCATGTGTTATTCTTCTGTTTTCCAGCTTTAAGGTTGCTCCTCAGTCATACCGTAAAAGGAGAGAAAGCAATATAAAAGTATGTAAACAGCCTGTGCATGGATTGCCAGCTAATGGAATTCCCTCCTAAGTTAATGAGAGGACAGAAAGTCACATGAGACCAGCTGTGGTTGGTAAATGGGATTTTGCATGTATATCCAGGTTTGCAAATGTATTAAGATACCTCAGGATGCACAGATTTGGCCTACTTGTTTGCATTCACTATTTAGGATTCTTTTTCTTATAAGGAAAGACTGATTACTGTCTGAAAATTTTGATTTTAGAATGAAAATGTCAACAACTTGTTGGATGAGTAAGCATGCCTTTAAAAAGCAGATTTTAGAGCGGGGTTGTGTGTGAAAGGATATTAGTACCTTTTACGAAAATCATGACTCAAAAAAAATTGCAAATGTTTTCCAGTTTCCTATGGCTAAAATGTAAAATAATTCAGCTTCCTCCTACAAATAGGTATGGTCCCTTTCATAATATACTGTATAAAGTAACCTTGATTTTGGTCAAATGAAAAAAGAAAAGTTGTGCCTGCAGTGCAATGTGCATCGTATAATACAGAAATAGGAGAGCTGCAAACAGAGCCTTTTTCTGTACAGAGATATTCACTTGGGCCCAGTTCTTGCAAACACGATTCTGCATGTGTTTAACTTTTGACACATGAATAATTCAGCTGAAGTCAAAGTCACATGTGATTCCACAAACCCTTCCTGAGAAAGCAGTCATTACTGTTGGGAATATTCCATGGAGCTACGTACATAACGGCTAGCTATATCGAGAACAAATGTAGACAGTGTTGCCAGGGAACCCCAGGAGTTTTGAGAGCACAGTACAGTCAGAACAGACTGAAAGGGTCTGTCCTGCACTGCTTGCTCCACAGAACTACACAGTGTGGATTATAATCAGCCCCTTGACAGCTCCGTGCTTATTCTGCCTGCGTGTCACTGCAAATCATTCTTCTGTGCTGTGCACATAGCTGCAGTAACACCACTGAAGTCATTTTACCTGAGCAAAGATGACAACCTCTCCTGACTAATGACCTCTCTGGCAAAGCGTTAATGTCTTGATGGTGAAAATCATTTCTGAGCACCCAAGGTCCAACATGACCTTATTCATTTTGGTCTCAGATGGTTTTTAAGACCTGCCTACAACATTAAAACTGGACAGTCAGGTCCATCACATTAGAAAGCAATCTTTCTCCTCTCTGTCAGCACACTCACAAAGTCATCCCTGCATGAGGGTCAGAATATTTCTATTCATGTCTTTCTTTCCTGTTGCCTTTGGACTATATCGTTGTTTGTTTGCTTCTTTTCTCACAGCTACTTAAAAATCAAGATTCTTGTCTTTGCCTTGAAGGCATTTCTGGGTTTAACTCTGCAATAGACTGAAACAGCTGTAGCTGGTATTTAGGAAGTGGGCCACAGAGCTCAAAGACTGCAACTGTAACTGTCTCTTCTTTGTATCTTATTTTGTTGGCATGGTGTCATCTTTACTTGCACTATTTTTGCAATTCTCCCACTCCTTTTCCATTTTCTTCTACATCACATAGGACATGTATTCTGAATACACAGAAGAGCACAAAACTTATTCTTTCAAATCTCTCTCGCTTCTTTTTTTCCTGCATAAGAAACTTTAGCCAATGGACACACTAAAGGCAACCGCTTACACCATGTATGTGCATACGAGTAACTGTATTCTGAAATTTTTGAGTGTTGCGTGGCTTGCCTTTTGGGTAGGCTAATGGTTTCCTTTGGGGGAAAATGAGGATTCTTTAGATAATATAGTTCAACTTAAAAATAAAAAATACAGGAGGATGAATTCACATAGCTTTGGTCTCCTGACTCAAAGAATTACAGGTATGCTCTTCTTAATAGTAAAGTTCAAAAAAGAAAACAAAGATGAAAAAGATATGGGTGAGGAAAATATACACCTCTTGCTTTGGCAACTAATGTGAAGGCTGGAGATCAAAGTGTGCACCTGCTCTGCAATCAAGTCTTTAAACTTCAGTTTCTCTGTGCCAATCTTGACATATAATATATATTTCATGGTGTTGGTATATAAAATAACTGATTGGCCATTGTTTATACAGTTAGTGTCTAAATGCTAATGATGAACAGATACAATTTTCTCAAATTTCTGTGTGAACAGGTGTTACACCATGTTTTTATTCTGTTAGTGAATGGAATAAGTTTCTATTTCAGCCTGACCATTTAGTGAAATAGAAGCAGGTGTGTGAATTAATTCATTGAAGATGATTGGCAGGGAAAATGTAGTAGGAGTGGATTTCTAAGGAGCAACTTATATAAATGCTAGCCAGGTATTTCAAATTCTAACACAAAAACTGGTTTGGTCAGTGAAAATAAGGGATTACTATTGGCTTTAGTAGATGTGATCTACTTTTAGGCAGCAGGTTGTTTTTCTTTCAGTGATGCTGTTCAGCTGGTGGGAAGGAGAAGAGAAAAACTTTCTGTTCCTTCTTCCATCAGGTTCCCTCTTTCAGTCTCCTCTTAATGGAAGAGGTAGTGGTTTTATTTAAATTATTATTTCAACTAAATGAAAAACAGTGCTACCATGTAAACTTCTTTCTTTCTGACACAGATACACCAGAGTAAAGTTACATACAGAACAGTGTGGATGTTTAGTGAAAAAGTGGCCAATCTTGTCTTTATTTCAGACGCTTTTGCAATGGAATCCCCAGGTAGACAGTAATCTGCAGTACCAGATATGATACTCTGTAGTGTTCAGGTAAGTGCAATAACCCTTTTAAACAATATTGTATGAAAGTGATCAGATATTAATATTTTCCTCAAAGGTACTTTTTTTTTTTCCCCCATATAATGGTATATAAGTGAGCCTTGAATGAGCTCCACTGTATTTTACTTGCACACACAGTATTGTTGCAATTTCAAATGCTACTAGAGGCTTTCAGTGTACAAAGGGCTGACAACTGAGATGTGTATTTGTACAGTATCTTACCAGGATCTTAGGGAGTGTGAGGAGATGCACAGGTGCTGCAGCTGTTTTTCATTATGTTCTTCTCAAATTTGTTTCTCTGTGCTCTAGTGTGTGAACTACTGTTTTATTTTCTATGTTTGAAACTCTAAAAGGTAAAATGCTACCGTTGGAGAGCTTATCTAGGTACTAATATTCCCAAATTTCCTTAGCAACTGCATGTTTCAAAAACAAATAAATTTCTAGCACTTCAGTGTCATAGAGATGTGTTATTATTCCCACTTTAAGGATGATACTAATGGTATAGAGCATCTATGTGATTTCCAAGGTGGCATAGTGTTAACCTTGGCACAGATAATATTCTTTCACTGTGTTGGAACTGGAAAATGAGTTTTTTTTCATATATATAGAAATTTCAAGTGTGAATATTTAAGTACTTTTTTTCTTTCTTCTTTTTTTTCCCCTCTCTTTATTTAGAATGAAATTCTTCTTTAGTCCAAAACTGTTGATTAATTTTTAACATAAGATCACAGTGCAGGATAAATCCTCAGCTGATGTTGGCCTCAGCTGCATTGACCTAACTCTTCTCAAGTCATATGGAGCTATGAAAATTGAAAAAACTATAACTATGCCATATTGTTTCTGTTCTTTATGGTAAGAAATTATTCTCCCTAGCTCAACAAATGATAAGCTAGTTCTTCAGAAAATCTTATTTGTTCTAATTTATTGATCTCCTATCTGCTTTTCATTAAGCCCTGTAGACTTCTTGTCAGCTTTCTGACTTAGCTCCACATAACTCTGCACCTTAACCCTCTTTTCTTGTTTATCTTTCCTCTTCTCTCTGGGAACTTGTCACCATCAAGGCACTCGAATGGGCCTCCAGAAGCTAAGTTTCAGTTTGTGATCTTGTCATGTGCCTCCCTCAGTTAAATGCTTTAAGTTTCCTAGTTTCAGTAAATTATGAATTCAGGTGTGTGCTCCTATTGCATATGGATGAAGGGACTTTATTCATGGTTGCATTACAGTAGTACTGGACTGGTGGAGAAATTAATCTTACAAATAACATGTGTGTGAACACAAACATGCGCACTGTCTCTCTTCCACCTGTGTCAAGATTTGGGCACATTGAAAATAAATAAAGTATAATATTATAGGTGTTGGCAGGCTGAGAGTTGTTATCCCTTTGCACAATCTCACAAAATTATGATGAAGTGTTGAAGCAGGGAAGGGACAATGCCCTGGAGCTTGTTTCTTGCCAGTTACTTCTTTTTTTGTATTTTCTTGTTCTTCTCTCTACCCCTGCAAGTGTTCCCTTAACCTTCCTGCTACTAATTACTTGCACGTGCACTTATTTAATTAAAATAGCTTCAGTTATGCTGGAAATAAATATTCATTTAAATGGTGGTGTTGGTTCATATCAAAAAGATTTTAGCATTATACAAAATATACAGGAGAACATGACATATCTACTGACAAGGATAGAGTGGCCACCCAAAACCCAATAAAACAAATAAACTAAGACCTGTCCAGGCTAGAATTAGACTTTATCTTTTGACTTTCAGTTCTTGCGGTAATGAGATCACACTATATCCATCACCACCAGTTAGTATGTGTTCCAGTTGTCTCTTCTCCAACCACTTCATTTCTCTATAGTGAATCATCAACATGAATTATCCTGAGTCAGTGGAAACAAAATACTGTGTCTACAGGGCCCTCTCTCCCAAAAGTGTGGTGTTCTGGATTCCCAGAAAACAGTCCTCATGTAAACACGATCATTATATGCTTTTCCCTATGTAATTTGTAGAATAACCTTGAAATCCCTTATACTGGTACTGGATTTCTGTCTTGTCCGCCCTTTGTAAAAGCTTGAGTAATTAAAGTAAAGCCAATTCTTCTGTATGATCCTAGAGAAGAGACAATGCCTACTGGTGGCAATTTCACTAAATGTTCTTTATGGACTTCTATGGCCCTGCTTCTCCAAAGCAGATGGTGTCAGCAGCAGGTTGTTTCACTATGGTGGGGTTTTTTTGCTGTTGTTCTTGCAAAAAGCATTCTCTTTTATACTTGGTGTTTCAGTCACTTTTGCCAAAGGGTTTAGGTGAATGAATGAGTTTTTTTTTTTTTTTTTTTTTTTTTTTTTCCTTCTCCTTTGCAATGGGACATATAATGGTGTTGAAAGGTATTGTAGCTGGCATAGCTTGCAGGCATTATGAAGCTGAGTAGAGTACTTCAGCTCTTTCTCACCGTTTCATCTTGGCTTGAAGTCACATTCACTTATTAAAAACAAAACAAAATGGAAAAAAAGCAATCCACCCAAATATTTCAGCTTGATTTTTATCATGAAAAGGCTTCTGTGCCAAGAAGACACCTGGCTGTTTTTGAAGTGCTAGTGTTTTATAATGTGGCCAGATTTTTTTGATTTTATTTTAAGGGCCATGGCAGATTTTTGAGCTCTGAACATCATGTACCTCTCCAAAAATGAAGAAAAAATACATAAAGAGTTTTTCTAACTGCTCCCTCTTAGGACTGCAAGGTGCTGACAAGAGGTTACACTGGCTTTAGCCAGCTGAAGATTTGGAATCTTCGTGGGTTGTTATGACTTCACCTTTTCATCAACACACTCCAGGATCTTTATTTTGTTCATATTTCCAGTATGGTTTTGGATTCTGCCTAATGTTTATCAGATACCTCTCAGTTTATGACCTTGAACACTTTGAGGACAACTTCTGAATTTGCCTGTTCCAAACTCCAGGGCTGTGGCAATGACACATGAAATCGGGAGCCAACTGGAAATTCAGTTGCCGAAGCAAAATTCACAACTGCAAGTGTAAGATGAGCCCAAAGAGGTGTTCCTAGCAGAAGAGCTTGGAAGCTGCTATTCAAGCCCGTTAAGAAATGAAGGCACAGCTGTCAGTTGCTGTTACTGCTGGCTAAGTAATGACAATGGATTGAAGCAAAGAGAGAAGAGGGCACACAAGAGGTCCTTGTGTGATCTTGCAGCAGGCTCATTTAGATGTGACCTTTTGGTGGAAATAGGCAGGGTACTGTGTTATACTGCGATGTCAGAATAAGACGAAACTAATTCCCCTTTGATCTTTCTTTTCTGTAAGAACAAAGCTGGCTGTAGGCTCCCTGTCTGGCATTCCCAGTGAGCTATGGATGTGCCTCATGTTTCAAGTAACCTTACGGGCATACTTACCTGCCCATGCTGCAGCCCTGCAATCTCCCCTCTCTCGAAGTGCTGTCAAGTACTGTGGTTATAATCTATGTAAACAAGAAGTATGTTTCTATAATGTGCAGTAAATCAAGATATCAGATTGTAAAGGTCTTTGTTACTGTCTTCTGTTACTTGTTCTTTCCATACTGTGGAAACTTTTCCCTTAGTGCAACTCAACCTTAGCAGGATCAGGAGTGTGTTGGGTCTAAAAAATTTCATTATTTCGTCATTTCATTATGATTACAATGTGTTTTTCATTATGCCATCTTAGATAACCTCTTTCCATGCTGAAAACCAGGCAAGGTTGAACCTGGTTAGCATCTGAATTAATGCCTTCCAAGAAAAATTTAGTATGCTACAGGAAGTAGTACTGGTGATTCATGATAAAATTTTGAATCTTGACATGTGAAGTATTTCAGAAATAATCTAGTCTTTTAGATTTTGGAGAGGCGAAGAGCATGGGTAAGTGGCTTCGTAGTGAAGTCTGGCATTTTATGTGTATGTGTATAGACTCTTCATGTGGTTTGAATCACTCCAGGCGGTTTTACAACTGCCTCCTTGTAACCTCAAGGCTAGTCTTTGCTAGCCTTCACCAGAATGTCTTTTAGGGATTTGTAATATAGGTTGTATTTGCTCATAAAAGCTCAGCCTAGCACCACTATTGATTCTGCTAATATTCTATACTCCCTCCATGATGCAGTGGGTGCAGAAAACTGCTACATACATATAAGCGATGTTGTGATCTTGTGATCAAGTGAATCACCTGTGATGAGATTTTTTTTTCTTGTTGTTTTTGTTAGAGAAGGTATATAAATAAAAATTGCTTGACCATTCCTCAAAGTGGAGGATAAGGATCAGGCAGGATAAGGTTCTCGGGGAATGAGACTTAAAATGCAGATTTGAATCAAATCTGTGCATTTGTTTGTTTTCACTTAAACTATTGCTTATCAACTCTCATATTTTGGCTAAATGACAGATATGAAGTTAAAGGCTTACCCACAGCCTGAGAGCGCACCATTTCTCAGTGCATATTACTTTTCTAGTTTCCACCTTTCATTGCCAGTTAAGAACAGTTGTTCCTCCCAACCCTGCCTTACTGCCCCCGCATCTTTTCTGTGCAGATTTAGGAGAGAAGCTTTTTTTGTTTCTTTGTTTCTTTCTTTCTTTCTTTCTTATTCCAAATTTACTGTGATGACAAATGAGCATTGGAACGGGATGCCCAGGGAAGCTGTAGAGTCTCCATCCTTGGAGATATTCAAAACCTGTTTGGATGTGATCCTAGGTGGCCTGTTCCAGTTGACGCGCCTTTGAGCAAGTTGCCTGGACTAAACTATCTCTAGAAGTTCCTTCCAGCTTAAACTCTTCTGTGATTCTATGTTGCCTACAAGTGAGTGAATTGTGAAAACACCACAGGGAAAACTACTTGCTGTGCTTGGCATTCCTTTGTAACACTGCAGAGGGATCCTTGAGGAGAAAATGTGTTGTCTGAGAGCCTTATAACTGCAGAAGTCAATAGTTCATAAAATTATTTGCCTAAAAATTGGTAGAAGTCACATATCTTTAAATTTCTACCAGCTGAGACAATCCCTTGAAAATTACTGTAGAGAACAAATCTGTTTTGGCATAGAAGTGAATTGCACAGGTCTTTGCCTGTGCTGGCATATTTCTATGATTCAAATGTTGCAACACAAAGGGACACGTGTTACCAAAACAGTAATTTGTGTTATTTGTAAGTACATGTACATGACAGTGACTCAAAACTACACTTCAAGTATACCAGGAAAAAAGTCCACATCAAGGCAAAGTGGCTCATTTTGTGGTGTTGTTACCCCAAACAGTCTGAGTTGGACTTACTGCAGTCTAAGTCTTCTGAGAGATTTATCTGGGTAAACCAAGTAGGCCAAAAGAATGAAATATGTGAAGCCTAATCTACTAGTCTGACTGTGTTCTTCCAGGTCCTGAAATGCTTATCAGTTTATTATGTCTTTTTCTGAATTTGGAATTTTGTATTTTCCATTCTTGTTATACCTTCAAATGTGACTAAAACTTTTGAAGAAAGCTTGGGCAGCATTGCCTTCTCAGCACACTGTGTGAGTTCACTTGTCTACTGCAGAGGCCCCAGACTCAGGTTTTAGACAAAAGTGAGCATATCTGCTTACGTACTGCAGGGTAAAGACCCATTTTTACTATATGGGGCCCCCCATTAATTTTTAATTAGTTATTAATCTACTCTTTAGCTCAGTTCACTCTAAATAATTAAATTGATAAGATATAATACCCTAATAGTGCTTGCTCATATACCTATTAATACAAATTAGTGGAATAAACTTTGCTGCACACCTGTCCTTGGTAATCTATGTAAATACTGGTGCATTATCATTGACTGTCATAAATAACATCCACATTGACATTTTGTAGGCATTCATGTTATCTTAGACCTGGTAAATCACTTTGCACTGGAGGTTATGGAAAATACAGTCATTGTGACTGTGAACTACAGCTGAACTTCATACATTTTGAAGAGACTGCTGTAATTTACTTGTGAATTCTCATATATCTATCTAAATTTTCTTGATTTGCTGTATCTTAAATACAAGTATACTCAGTATCCCAGTGACTCCCAATGACAGGTGGGGATCAAGTTGCCATTTCTATTTTGTTGACCATAAACTAAGGTCTAAAGGGAAGAACTGGAATAGACAGAGTAAAAATGTGACTTAGAAGTCTGGTGACTGAGCTGATCTTCTCTACAAGGAATAATTCACCTGAGGTCCTCCTTGTTTCACTCAGAATCATGTGGGTGGTTGGTAACAGAGTTTGGATTCATAGACAGATACCAATTGTAACCACACAATCCCCGCAGAAGAAAACAGATACTAAGCTTGTAACATATGTGACTTTCATTCATGGTTGTGAAGGGGGGAAAATATGCAGATAGTGCTAATTTAGCTTAGTTAAATATGTAAAATGTAGCTGCCTACTATAGGCTATCTTCTTTCAAAACTCTTATACAGATTTGATATATTTTTTTCTTCATTGCACAACAAAAAATATTGACACTATCTGTATTTCTGCAAATCTGTCTGCATCCATTTATCTCTGTTAAAAGTCAATGCTTTCACTGTCCACACTGCAGGACACTTACAAATCCTGGACTGAAGTAAGGTATCCATGTTTGCCATCTGGTGCATGAAGCAGAAAGCATCTCTAGTTTTGCTCTTCTCTTATTCTTGCTCTTTCTTGTAAAAAATCTTAAAAAATGGTCTATCTTAACTTCCTGAAGTATTTCAGAATTTCTGATTATTTGTGGTGCAACTATTTCACTAGCTTTGTATGTGTTGTCACCTCTAATTTATACTCAAGTCTTCTCCAAAGAAAAATACACACATGGTGCACTTTCCTATCTCTTTCATAGAACTAGTGAACTAATGTTCATAAGGGCTTAAATGCAAGAAGCAATTCCTTGCTCATCCCCATAAAAATCTGCAGGGGGTAAAATCAAGACTTCACTGCTCTTGCACCCTTCTGGAATGCCCTGCTGGAGAAAAGGCAAGGTCCCAGAAAGCAAATTGCCAAAAATAGTTAGGAAGACCAATGGAGCCTGAAAGTGAGGGAATTTTTCCCAGCTCCTCAGAAGAGGTAGCAAGGTAACACTGACCAGGCGGGCTTAGTGTAGCACTAGATATATTAGGTTTAAAAAAAGAGATTTTGCACTTAAAAAGAATTGTCTCTGAGAATTTAATACCATATGGATCAAAACTTAGTATGCTTGAAAATGAAAGGCAAGATAAAGTGGTGCACCACAAGTCCACATAGACCTAGTAAGAAGGGGAAAAGAAGAGGAGAAATTTTCTCTCGGAAAATCACCCCTAGCAGAGTGGAGCAAAGGGTGAAAAGCAAGCAAGAAAAATGAGGCCCTCCAAGTCAGTTGATGCAGCGTGCTGGGTCTACTGCCCCTTTTACAGGCAAATAGCTCTCCCAAGCAACAAGAGGAAGTTTCAAGTAGGAGCATAGCAGGCAACAGGCATGCGGAGAGTAGCTGGGTTCTTAGAAATAGAGAGGTGTGGCCGTGCAGGAAAAAAGGTCTTCTTCATTGCATAGCTGTGAACACCTTAGCTGACATCTGCAATGGAATAACTCAGGAAAGACAAACACCTTCTTAGAAAGCATGTAATAAAAAGGGACTAAAGGACTGCTCCTAGTGAAGTTGCTTGGACTTTTTCCCTGACGTCTGTGTTTAAAGGCTGAAATCTCAGGAATAAATAAAACAACAAAATGAGGAGAAAAAAAAAGAAAATAAAAGAAAACAAAAATAGAAAAATCCCGGGTTGCAAAAAGACTTTGATCTTACAGATTTTACTCTTGAAGGTAGCTTCACTGATTTCTGAAGGCTTGTTTTACATAGTTAAGTATTTTTTCCATAAGCTTATGTCATAGTATTTGTTTCCAAATCATTTTCAACTATAAAGGTGTCTGCGGCCAGATCTTTCTCCAGTTGAGGTAATGAGTAATTCTTCTCATTCATTTCAGGGGTCCTTTAATCTTTTTGAGGCCTTTTTAATTAAAATGAATTATTTAGCATTTGTACAGCACTTTGAAAGTATGCAGAACTGCGTAAGTGCTAATTGCTATTATTAAATTTATTATCTCTTACATTTCTCATAAAACTAGCTATGACTTGGCAGTTAAGCTCTTAAGGAAA